GAGCGGTACTTTTTGCTGGTTGTCGACGACTACTCGCGTTACACCACGGTCTTCCCCTTGCGCACCAAGGGTGAGGTCCCTGCTGTTCTGATCCCTTGGATCCGCACCGTTCGTCTCCAGCTCCGCCGCCGTTTCCGGACGGATCTTCCTGTCCTGCGTCTGCACTCTGACAGAGGTGGTGAGTTTTCCTCCGATCTCTTGAGGACCTTCTGTCAGGCGGAGGGCATCGAGCAGACCTTCACGCTTCCGGACTCCCCACAGCAGAATGGGGTTGCTGAGCGCCGCATTGGCCTGGTCATGGAGGTCGCTCGTACCTCCTTGGTCCACGCGGCGGCTCCCCATTTTCTGTGGCCGTTTGCTGTCCGGTACGCCGCGCATCAGCTCAACCTCTGGCCCCGTGTCTCCTTGCCGGAGACCTCGCCCACACTGCGTTGGACGGGGGAGGTTGGCGATGCGTCGCGCTTCCGGGTGTGGGGTGCTTGTGCCCTTGTCCGCGATACGTCCGCGGACAAGCTCTCCTCCCGCACGCTTCCCTGTGTCTTCCTTGGCTTTGTCCCTGACGCGCCTGGCTGGCAGTTTTACCACCCCACCTCGCGCCGGGTCTTCGCCTCTCAGGATGTCACCTTTGACGAGTCGGTCCCTTTTTACCGTCTCTTCCCCTACCGCACTGCCCCCCTCCCTCCCCCGCCGCTTTTCCTTGCTCCTGGTCCCCCTCCGGTAGACCCCCTTCCCCCTCAGGGTCCTGCTCCTTCAGGTGTCTCTCAGGTAGACCCTCCTCCCGTCGCTGAGCCTGTCGAGGTCACAGGTGACTCAGGTGCTGCTGCGGGTGGTGCTGCTGGGAGTGCTGAGCCTGGGGGTGCTGAGCCTGGGGGTGCTGGGCCTGGGGGTGCTGGGGCTGCGGGTGCTGGGACTGAGGGTGCTGGAGCTGAGGGTACGGTGCCTGAGAGTACGGAGCCTGGGGGTGCTGAGCCTGGGGGTGCTGAGCCTGCGGGTGCGGGGCCTGGGAGTGCTGGGACTACGGGTGCTGGAGCTGAGGGTACTGTGCCTGAGAGTTTGCCGCTTGGGGGTGCTGAGCCTGGGGGTGCTGCGACTGGGGGTGCTGAGCCTGCGGGTACTGAGCCTGCGGGTACTGAGCCTGGGGGTGTTGCTACTGAGCCTACGGAGCCTCGGGTTACTACGTCTGGGGGTGCTCCGGTTCGGGGTGCTGAGCAGTCTCTCACACCGCAGCAGCTTCGTGACTGGTACGTCCGGCGCTTTCGCCGTCCTAGTGGCTCGGCTGGAGTTGGGGGTGCTGGGGCTGCTCGTCCTGGGGGTGCTCGTACTGGGGGTACTGGAGCTGCCGGGACTGGTTGTTCTGGGAGCACTGCGACTGGAGCTGCTGGAGCTGGGGACTCTGGCGCTGGCGGTGCTAGCGGAGTTGGAGCTGCCGACTCTGGGGGTGGCGCTGCTGCTGGTGCTGCGGACCCGCCTGGTGGAGCTGCTGCTGGAGCTGAGGACCCGAGCGGTGGCGCTGCTGCTGGTACTGGGGACCCGGACGTTGGAGCTCCTGCTGGTCCTGAGGACCCGGCCGCTGGAGTCTCTTCTGCTTCTGGAGACGCTGCGCGGCCGCGACCGTACTTCGTACCGCTCCTTCAGCAGGTTCTTGGGCAGGCTCCTCCTCCTTGTCCTCCTCCCTCCGTGGAGTGTCCTCCGCCTGTCCAGCCGCAGTCACAGCTACCGCCTGCCTCGCCTCTTCCTGCTCCCTCTCCTTACGCTGGTCCCACAGGAGGTCTTACAGAGCGTCGTGAGCCTGAGTCTCGTCCTGCGTCGCCTGTTCGTCCTGCTCGCACTGGTAGTCGTGTCCGTCGTGAGCGTCCTCCTCCTGTCCCATGCACTCACTACATGACTCTGCGTCCCTCTACTGCTCCTCGGCGTGTCCCTCTACCGTCTCCTCCTGAGTCCTCTTTGCCTGCCGTTCCGGACCCTGAGTCTGACCGGTATCGCGCTGAGCACCCTACAGTCACGCGTCTCCTAGCTACTGTTGTCACTGACCCTACCTTTGAGTCCTCGGCTGCGTCTGCTCTGGTCGCTGAGTTGGTTGACTTTGCTGCTGCCTGTCGTCTAGACTACGCTGCTAGCCTTGTTGCTGAGTCAGAGTCTGCGTCTGTCTGTCCTCCGTCCGTCGGGGGTGAGTGTGCTCTTGGCACGGACGTCCTTGAGGACAGGCAGGAGGACTTTGACTCTCTTGCGGCTGCTGTACCTCATCTCGTGGCCTGGTTGCTTGCCCCTGAGGGAGACCCGGATGCACTAGACATCCCCACTCCGCGCACTTACGCAGAGGCGATCTCGGGTCCCTACTCCTCTCAGTGGCAGACAGCCATGGACGCAGAGATGGCATCCTGGAAGTCCACAGGCACCTACGTCGACGAGGTTCCCCCTCCTGGGGCGAACATCGTCGATGGCATGTGGATTTTCAGGGTGAAGCGGCCGCCAGGTTCTCCGCCTGTCTTCAAGGCTCGTTACGTTGCTAGAGGCTTCAGTCAGCGTCAGGGGGTCGACTTCTTCCAGACCTTCTCCCCCACCCCGAAGATGACCACTCTTCGGGTTCTGCTGCACGTTGCTGCTCAGCGTGACTACGAGCTTCACTCTCTTGACTTCAGCACAGCGTTCCTGCAGGGCAGCCTGCATGAGGAGATCTGGCTGCGCCGCCCACCTGGCTTTACTGGGTCGTTTCCCCCTGGTACCCAGTGGAGTCTCCGCCTGGTACACACTGAGGACTACACTTGCGGCTCTTGGGTTCGCGCCGTCTACTGCTGACCCGTCGCTGTTTCTGCGCACAGACACGTCGCTGCCGCCGTTCTACATTCTCGTGTACGTCGACGACTTGGTCTTTGCTACTGCTGACACTGAGGCACTCGCTCGTGTGAAGTCGGAGCTGCAGAAGAGACACACCTGCACTGACCTGGGTGAACTGCGTAGCTACCTTGGCTTGCAGATCACCCGGGACAGAGCTCGCCGCACCATCACCCTGACTCAGTCACACATGGTGCAGCAGGTCCTTCAGCGCTTCGGCTTCCAGTTCTCCTCACCACAGGCCACACCTCTGGCTACCAGCCACTCGCTCTCAGCTCCACCTTCGGACGAGTCCGTAGAGCCGAGTGGCCCATACCCAGAGCTTGTAGGCTGCCTCATGTACCTGATGACCTGCACGCGACCTGACCTCGCGTACCCTCTTAGCATCCTTGCTCGTTACGTTGCGCCTGGGAGACACAGGCGAGAGCACTGGGAGGCTGCTAAGAGGGTGCTGCGTTACTTGTGCAGTACATCAGGCATGGGGCTGGTGCTTGGAGGACGCGACAGAGTTGTCCTCACTGGTCACTCGGACGCTTCTTGGGTGGACGACCTGGCTACGCAGCGGTCGTCACAGGGTTACACCTTCAGCCTTGGCTCTGGTTCTGTCTCGTGGCGGTCCACCCGCTCTTCCTCTGTTCTCGGCTCTAGTTGTGAGGCTGAGATCTACGCCACAGCCATGGCTGCACAGGAGTTACGCTGGCTCACCTACCTGCTGACTGACTTGGGAGAGCGGCCTAGTTCTCCTCCAGTTCTGTACGGTGACAACAAGGCGGCTCTTGCCTTGTGTCAGGAGCACAGACTGGAGCACAGAACGAAGCACATTGCTCTTCGCTACTTTCTTGCTCGAGAGCTTCAGCAGCGCGGTCAGCTTCGGCTTGTGTACGTGGACTCGAAGGCCAACACTGCTGATATCTTCACCAAGGCGCTCCCGCCTAGTGATCATCAGCGGCACTGTACTTCTTTAGGCCTTGTGTCCACATTTCCTCACTTGCTCACTGCTTGACATTCTTTGTACTGTACTTTATATATATCTTGTTGCTTGCTTGCTAGGTTTTGATCACTGTGTTGCTTGTCTTGTACTATATCTAGCACTGCATGTGAACTGGCCTTGTGGCCTTTACTTGTGCTCGGAGTGTGGTGACGTTGTGATCCACCCTGGGCTTTGCTTTGCTTTGCTGGACTGGTCTTGTGACCCTTTGTTCTCCCCCACTTTGCCTATGGGGGTGTGTTAAACTGTATTATGCTTGTAGGCTGTAGTGGGGTAGCCAATATGGGGTACAACCCCAACTAGGGTTTCATATTTGTACCCAAACTTCTGCTAGTTCATTCATTCTTGCCTAGTTCTTCTGAGACTTATGCACTCCTTTCAGTGGGCAGCTGGCTTTGGGCCGAAGATTTTCAGTATTAGATGAATAATTCCAAATAGTAATGTGAATACATTAGTAATAATTAGATAAACGTAAACAAGGTTGTACGGTCAGCCGAATATAAATCGGATTTCCAGCCGTTGAAATGAAACCAAATAACAAATATTCAGATGACGATGGACATTAGAAAATGTCTGATATTTCATATCCATCAGATGAATTTCGTCTGAAGCCGACTACCCTTGGAAATACGTACATCAACGAATTTCTATATGCACCACATCTCCAACAAGACAGGGTTAGTAATGCGGTGGTCTATAGCGAGAAATATAATCATACTTCGCAAGCTGAACGGTAGGGCAAACTCACCCTCCATGGAACATCCCGTTAGTAGACCTGGTTCGGTATGGTTCATTTTGAATAAAACAAGATCAGCCTGCCAAAGTTGTAACGGCGCGAAAGAGGGTGTACCGAAGATCGTTAGCCGGCAGCATGGAAGTCAAGCAGTTGAACAGAGTAAACCGCAAGCTATGCGCGCCGTGCACCCATACGCCTGGTAATCTCTTCCCCCTACCAATCGATGTCAAGCTGCGCCGCTCAGTCATGCGCCCTTCACACCACACTCGCCGCAGTCGCCACCGCTGCTCTCCGTCTCGCGTAGCTCGTTGCTTCAGTCTCGTCCTCGTCACTGCATGCCTCGCTGTAAGGTCAACTCCACATTCTCCCAACTCTTCCCCCCCCCCCCCCCCCCCTCGGCGCCGCGCTTCCTAACTCTTGAACCCCTGCCGCCATCCCACCTCAATGCGGCGTCGCGCGGCAGGTGAGTTTGCGGTGCGTCCACTCCCTCTCGCCCAACCTCTCCCACTCACCACTCTGCCCCTCCCTGCCCTCCGCGCGCAGGCATGCAGCGCGCAGCGCGGAGCGGCGCGGCCGGGGTCGATCCTGGCGGGGTTCGAGTATCCGGAGCACGTGTGCGGGGTGGCGTGGCGCGACGAGTACGTGCAGCTGCACGCGCGCATCAGAGCCGCCAGCCGCGACGCGTGGAACGCGCGAAAGCCACCAGGTAGCGTGGGGCGGTGGGGCGGAGCACGTGACGATGCGGGTTGAACTAGTGGGTGACTGTTAGTGGTGCAGAAGCGGATATCCCAAAAATTGGAGCAGACGCGTGGTTGCGCGGATAGGAAGCAGGGGCAGGGCGCAAGCACATGCGGGTGAATGCGAGCGTTCATACGCACTGCTCCGCCCTCTGCTCCCCGCTCCCCTGCGCAGATGCCCCGTCTCCCGCGCCTTCGCCAGCGCCAGCGCCATCGCCAGCTCCAGCACCAGCGCCCGCCGCATCACATGCATCGCCGCCCCTCCCCTCCGCGCCGCCGCCACAGCCTGCCGCCACATCGCGCAGGCGCCTGGCGGACCACTATCCCCCGACGACGGCAGGCCCGCGGAGCCTGCAGCAGCGGACGACTCTTCAGCAGCTGACGCGCCGGCAGTGCGCTTTCTGACGTACGACTGGTATGGCACGTGGGGGGGGGGGATTGGCGACTACCTCATCGGGCTCGTCTCCATCATCCTTTTTTTTAGAATTCTGAATCTGTTTTTTGAATCTGTTTTTTAAATCTGTTTTTTTTTTTTTTAGAATTCTCAAAAAACAGGTACGGCACGTGCGGGGGGATCGGCGACTACCTGATCGGGCTGGTGTCCATCTTCCCCGCCGCGCTGCTGGACCGCCGCGCGCTGCTGGTGGCGCAGCCGTGCATGCACGCCGCATTCCACTCTCCGCATATCGACACGGCGCTCTCCCCCGACGTGCCCATGGGGGGCCGCCCGCTGCTGCGCGCCACGCCCCTGGACGCCCTCAAGCCCGCGAGGGACGGCGCCGGCAACGGCGCGGGCGCGGGCGGCAGCAACGGCGACGGCGGGGGTGGCGGTAGCAGCGAGCAGCGCGTGGAGTGGCATGCACCGCCGTGCGAGCGGCTGGAGGGGAACCTGAGCGCGGAGGTAAAGGACAGCAGCGCAGTGCCGTGTTTCAACATGGTGGGGCAGAGCTTTGGCATCCAGGACCTGCAGCGCCACAGCGCACTGAGCAACTACCGCATGCGGTATAATCACGGGCTGCTCATCACCACGTTGTTGCTGGACGAGGGGCCGTGGGCTGCCGCGCTGAGGCGGCTGGGGTTCAAGATCGCGTATGGGTTCGGATGCATTCTCAGATTCCTCTTCAGGTGTGTGTGTGTCTGCCTCACGTGCCCTGCCCTGCGCTGTGCCACACCCACTCGCTCACTGCTGTGCCCTGCGCCATGCACCACAGCCGTCTATGCATGCTTAGGATTGGAGGCACGGTGTGATCGGTATCCTATCCATCCGTCATCTCACCCACTGTTAATCCTTACTCTTGCATCCCCCCCTTTCCCACACTGCCCCTCTCCCTCTCTTTCCTCCACTCTGATGATCTCATCCCAGTCCGCGCCCCGAGGTGTGGCA